CTTCTTCTTCTTCTTCTTCTTCTTCTTCTTCTTCTTCTTCTTCTTCTTCTTCTCATTCTTCCTCCTGATGACAGACAGGGCTTACCTCTGTCCCTGTGGTTTTATGCAAAAAAAATAAAAATCTGAAATTAAGTAAACTGAGCCCCAAAAATGTGAAATTATACGGTTCTCTTAATTTTGACAAATAATGATAAAGGGAAATAATCAGGAATTAGGCAAAAAATGATCACATTTTGCTAAATGATAAAAGAATCAGAAATTAGGCCCAAAAAATGATCAAATTTTGATGAAAAATTATGCAGGGTGCATAAAAATGAAAGCACAGGGACAACAGGGCTTGGTTTACCTTGACGAGCTGCGGCCTGGCTATCCGGACGAAGTTCTCGTAAGAAACCAGGACAATCTGCCAGACAGATGTAAAGCTGCAGGCGTAGCTGAGGAAGATGGTGACCTGGTGAAGGGGAGGAGAGGGGGGGGGGCATTACGAACGAGGATGTTGTTGTTGGTGTATTTGTGGTGCATGTCCATGCCCAAGAGCATGCTCTATGAGCTTTACAACTGTTATTACCCCAGCAGACCCTCTGAGAACACTCAGAAACATTCTCGGCTTCCGCGGAAGCATACAGAGCAAGCTGTGGATTTCACGTGCTCAAACACTATCAAACTGACACGATCGTTCACTGTCTATAGCCGGGTATCCATTTCCACCTGGGTGAAGTGAGGAAAATTTGTGCAAAGTGCCTTTCCCAAGGACACAACGTCAGGTCCCTGGCGGGATTCGAACCCTCGACCTTACGGTTGCGAGTCCGAGAGCCTAACCACTAGGCCACCACTTGATATTGTCCTTTCTGCCAGTGGTGGCCACATTGAGCGATTGTAAAGAATGAACAAAAAACTTGACGACTGTATAGTACAACGCATGTGTCCAAGACAGAAGTTTTCTATAGTTTTTTTGTTTTTGAAATATCGCGTGATGGTTTTGGTGTGTTCTTTTTTAATCCCCCTGTAATACAGGCTGTCCCAGAAAGTTGTGCACCATCCTAGTTTTTATCGAGCAGAGCTTGATTGATATTACGCAACCTTAGAATTATACTATGTTTCTATCTGACATTTTTGGCCATTTTGAGTTACTAAGACAATGAGGCCTGGAGATTATTCGGAGTATTTATCAAGAATTTCCAAGAATTGCTTTCGAAAAAGCTTGACATGTTGTACGTCAAATTTGTCAAAACTAGGAACTGAGCTGACAGAACTTCGTTCTACAAAAATAGCGATTAGTCTTCGTCAACTGAGCTTCTTCAGTAACAGAGATCCAGCCTAGACTCTTAAGAAAGCGTCTTTTATACGCTTGAGTTTTTTTAAGGAGTGATCTTTTAGCACCCCATTAATAATAATCCATTCTTCAAATGTGAGGCAGTGTGGTGGAATCAGGCTCTCGTCAAAATAATCAAAGTGAAGAAACTTGCATTTTTCCACAGGTTTGTGAATTTTTATCAAATTTTTGTTTTTTGACTCAACACCTTTCACGCCCAGAACTCATTTCTGAATGGATTTATCTGAAAAACGTTGATTAAAGGCACCAAAAATGTTAATTTTCAGTTACCACGGACTCTTAAGCTAAGGAAATAACTAATCTTTGGCGGTCATTTTCTCACTAATTTTACCTCTGAAAACAAGTGACCCCCACCTCCTTCTTTCGCAAATATCTCGACTCGTATTCAAGATAAATGGATATTTTTTTCCATCGAAAAAAAAAAGACAAGTGAACAAGCCTTAAGATGATACCAATAACTCTACTTGTCCAAAAAATGACAAGAGCCTGATTCCACCACGCTGCCTCACAAATAGACAATCTCTGTTTTTGACGAGGGTTTTCAGGTTGGTGCTCCACTTTTAGGACATCCTGTATAATATACCAATTCAATTTTGATCACTGATCTTGAAAAAACCCAAAACCCAACCGTATTGCGGTTCTAATAAACCATCTCTGTAATTTCTTTCCTGTAAACGACACCCACAGACAACGCAGTTCTAACTTAGCTTGAGGAATAGATCTAGGTGTCGACAGGAATCATTTAATTTTGGTATTTTCAATTAAAAAAATGTGCGGTTATTTGTCTACGAGGGTTTATGTTACAAGGAGAGACGACAGCGGAACATTGCCCAGGGAGTGTCCCATTTCAGTGACAGTAGATTTTTAAGAAAAACATTCTTAAAAAATGAAATAAAAAACCCCACAAACAAACAAACAAACAACCCCCCTCCCCCCAAAAAAACCCACAAAAACAAACAAACCCAACAACACCAGAATTTAACAATAGGAAACGTTTTGAGGAAAACATAACGATAGTAATAATAATAATAATAATAATAATAATAATAATAATAATAATAATACTATCATTGGTATCATATTCTTATAGGAATAAAGGGATAGATCTTTAATTCTAGACGACCAAATAGAAAGTCATAACTGAATTGTAGGCCTATACCACGACACTCTTTTCATCCAAAACTTCGGTGAGTTTAGCAAAGTGAAAGCACTGCTTACCATGACCTAGCGGTACTCACTTTCATCACAGCTCATAGAAATTCTAGAATATTATTATTATTATTATTAAATTGCCCCTGAGAAAAGATGAGTATTGATATATTATATGGATAGCCGGTGTTGTAATGTAATACTAATGGTCGTCATAGAAGAAGCGGAAATGCCTGTTATTTTGTTTCAAAAACCCGTCTTGGTTATATCCAATAATCCAGTGCCAGCATCATTTTTTTGGGGTGTAACATCCAAGTACGATTGTACTATGGTTTGATGTAGGCTACATGAGAGCAGTCCAGTTCTACCGTAAGCTGACAAAATATAATGCCTATTTTAAAAATTTGGCCCACCAATTTTTTTTGCTCAATCGAAAGCCTGATCAGTTACGACCCTACTTGTGTGAAAAATTGAAACTGAAACTGTAACTAGTTTTCGAATGAATTAGAATTCAAGTTTCTGAATTACTCTATTTTTAAACGACTGTGATGACAACCCCCCCCCTCTTTTTCTCGAAACTGCTCTGAAGAAAAAAAGGGTTTTGTCAGCTAACGACAGAGTTTTCCTTCTGCGCTGGACAAAAGCTATCAGTTTGGCACAGTTGGATCACGCTCCTCCAAATCAACCATATTGCATTTTTTTGTTGTTGCAGTCCCGATCGGAGGGGTCTGTTTGATGAAAGCAGCCAGTCGACAGAAGGTTTCACCGAGTGAGATCTTTCGTTTACGGACGGAATGCAATAATAGTAATAGGGCCTTGTTTTACTGAACCTGCAGGTCAAATTTGATGACTCAAAATATATCAGAGATCAAGTTGTCATAGCGTGTGGGTGGTTGGCGGGTGCTCTGGTGTGGTTTGCTTCTTCTTTCCTATCAAACATCTATTGTCTTTATCTCCCCTCCTTCTTTTTTGTGTTTGTTACTCTCTTGTAACACCTCTAATCTTTGACACTTATGATCTTATTGTGTTGCAAGTGCCGTAAAACTTGTACTAAAACTTAAAGACATAGCGTGCGTACACTGGCCTGCATCAATATCTGACCCGACTCAATGCGATTGGATTAGGTTGGTTTTTTTGGGTTTTTTTTGGTTTTTTTAGGTAATGGGCATCTGATTTAAGGTCTGCATTGCCACTTCAACAGCTGGAAAGAACAATTGTTGCGACAGAGTTGTGGTTCATAAGACGCATGCTGCGTATCACGTGGACAGCTAGAAAAACAAATGAAGAAG